ACCTGGTGTAAGAGGGAAGGATTTGGAATTCTATAGCACTGGGCTGCCTTTTCATTGGGGTGCAACCTATACCTGCTAGAGATGGTTTGCACCTAAATGGAAAAGGATCTGCTGTGCTGGGGGAGAGGTTTATGGGGAGGCTGGAGGAGTATTTAAAATAGGATCAAGGGAGGAGGGAGATCCATTATTATTAGATTATAATGGGGTAGGCAGATCAGACAGGGGTCAGTCCTTATTGGTGGGTGGAATGGAGAAAGATGAGAGAAGGGTTATAACAGATGATAAGAAGGTTCTCATGTTACAAACAACCATTGGAATTGGTACCATTTGTATGAAAATAAAAAATGCGCAAAATACGTGTGCACAAGCACAAGCAAAACAAGTGAGTTGGAAGCTTTGGTGCATGAACAGAACTATGATTTAATTGGTATTGCTGAATCTTGGCTTCATTCTTCACATGACTGGGCCATTAATATTCCTGGCTATGTTCTCTTTCAGAGAGACAGGCTAAATAGGAAAGATGGTGGTGCCTGTCTCTATGTGAGAAGTGATCTCTATGTGAGCAAGTGTGAAAGAGGACCTCGTTGATGGAGAATGTGATGAGGCTGAAGCCTTATGGCTGGAACTGCACATGGGGGTGCGTACTACAAAGGTAATCATTGCAGTTTGTTATAGGCCTCCCAGTGTTAATAAGGAGGTGGAGAATCAGCTCCTTGCACAGATCAAAAGGGCTGCAAGGACTGGGACAGTGAGAATAAAGGGGGATTTTAACTACTCGAAAATTCACTGGAGTAATGACACTGCAGGAACAGTTAAAGGGCAAACGTTTATAAAAACCTACTACAGGACAATTTTATGGTACAGTTCATAGAGGCCCAACTAGGAATGATGCTCTGCTGGACCTGGTAATCTCAAACCATGCAGAGCTTATTACAAATGTCCATATAAAAGAACATCTGGGTAGCAGTGACCAATAACATGATTTCATTTATTGTTAGCTGTAAACATCAAGCACATACAGGAAAAATGAAAACACTCAACTTTAAGAGAGCTAATTTTCCATGGCTGAGAGCTGCTCTCCAAGACTTAGACTGGGAGGGAATATTGGCATCGATGAACACAACACAGAAATGGGAGTTCTGCAAAAAGACTGTATGTGAACACACTGCAAAATATATTCCCATGGGCAACAAGTTTAAAAGGCTAACAATCAAACCTATCTGACTTACGGCCAAAGTTAAAAAAGCTATAGATAATAAGAAAAGAGCTTTTATTAAATATAAAATTGAAGGAAAGCTATCATTTTTTAAACATTACAAACAATTTAACAGCAAAGATTGAAAACGAATGACAGATTGCAAAAGATAGCAGGACCAACCCCACAAATTCTTCAAATATATTAATGTGTAAAAAGGTCCGGTCCAAGCATGTAGGCCCTTTACAAAATCTAGAGTTGGTGACTGGCGACAAAGAGAAGGCAGATTTATTAAATACCTTCTTCAGCTCTGTGTATACACAGGACCATGGGGGAGCTCTTGTTCATAATGGGCATGGTATTTACACAGCTCCAGATGATCCACATTGGCTCATAATTAATATGATCCAGAAATATTTTTAGACAGTATAATGCAGGTCTTAGACGGGGAGAAAAACGGCCGAGAAAAATCGGTTGTTCAAGCGGCCGACGTTACCAGCAATGGTAAAAAAAAATCGGCCGATTTTCATCCCGTCTACAGCCGGCAAAAAGTGTCCCTGCAGAGAGCTCCGCTATTTCTTTGACAGTTCCTTGACATTTATAGTGGTTGCAACATTGTATCTATTTGTATCCATTTAGGATACAGATGTTTTTATTCGGAAACAAATAGATACAATGTTGCAACCGCTGTAAATGTCAAGGAACTGTCAAAGAAATATCAGAGCTTTCTGCAGGGACACTTTTTGCCGGACTGGAATTCCTCTTATTTTTCATCCCTCTTCTTCTTCATCATCATCCTCCTCCTTCTTCTTCTTCTTCTTCTTCATCATCATCATCCTCTTCTTCTTCTTCATCATCATCCCCTCTTCTTCTTCATCATCATCCTCTTCTTCTTCTTCTTCTTCTTTTTCATCATCATCCTCATCTTCTTCTACTTCTTCTTCTTCCTCTTCCTCTTCTGCTTTTCCTTCTTTTTGTCTTCGTCTTGCAGGTCACTGCTCATGCGCAGATTTTTTATCGGTAAAAAATCCTCTTCTTCTTCTTCTTCTTCTTCTTCTTCATCATCCTCTTCTTCTTCTTTTTCTGCTTCTTCATCATCATCCTCTTCTTCTTCTTTTTCTGCTTCTTCATCATCATCCTCTTCTTCTTCATCATCATCATCATCATCTCTCTTCTTCATCATCATCATCATCCTCTTCTTCTTCATCATCATCATCATCCTCTTCTTCATCATCATCATCATCATCATCATCTCTTCATCATCATCCTCTTCTTCTTCTTCTTCATCACCCTCTTCTTCATCATCATCCCCCTTCTTCTTCCTCTTCTTCTTCTTCATCATCATCCTCCTCTTCTTCTTCTTCTTCTTCTTTCATCATCATCATCATCATCCTCTCTTCTTCTTCTTCTTCATCATCATCATCCTCTTCTTCTTCCTCTTCTTCATCATCATCCTCTTCTTCTTCTTCTTCATCATCATCATCATCCTCTTCTTCTTCTTCTTCATCATCCTTCTTCTTCTTCTTCTCCTTCATCATCATCCTTTTCTTCTTCTTCATCATCCTCCTCTTCTTCTTCATCATCATCATCCTCTTCTTCTTCTTCATCATCATCCTCATCTTCTTCTTCTTCATCCTCTTCTTCTTCCTCTTTCTCTTCTTCTTTTTCTTCTTTTTGTCTTCCTCTTGCAGGTCACTGCTCATGCGCAGATTTTTTATCGGTAAAAAATCGGCCGATTTGCCCATCATTGCCGAGAAAATCGGCCGATCGGCAAAATCAGACGATTTTTTTCTAACTTTACTGATAAAAAAAATCTGCCAAAATCCCGAAAAAAACGACCAAACAAATAGCCCACTAACGATCCGAAAATCGGCCGATTTTATTTTCGGCCGAAAAATCGGCCGATTTTCAACCCATCTATGGCCTGCATTAAGGTGAATAAAGCACCTGGACCGGAGGGCATACACCCCACGGGTCCTTAAATATTGAGCTCTGTCATTTCAAAGCCATTGTTTCTAATTTTTAGGGACTCTTTAATTACTGACATAGTACCACTGGATTGGCATTAGGCCAATGTGGTACCTATATTTAAAAATAGGACCCTTACTTTTTAATATATTTATAAACAATATAGGGTCTGGGATTATAAATCCCATTTCAGTCTTTGCAGATGACACCAAGCTGTGCAGTGGAATAACGTCCTTACAGGATGTCTCCAATTTACAAGCCGACCTCAATGCACTGTTTATTGGGCAACTATGTGGCAAATGAGGTTTAATGTTGATAAATGTAAGGTTCTGCACTTGGGGGCTAAGAATATGCATGCATCATACATACTAGGGGGGTACAACTGGGGGAATCAATGGTGGAGAAGGATCTGGGAGTTCTGGTAGATCACAAGCTTAATAATGGCATGCAATGCCAAGCTGCGGTTTCTAAAGTGAGCAAAATCCTCTCTTGTATTAAAAGAGGTATAGACTCCAGAGAGAGAGATATCATATTACCCCGGTACAAATCATTAGTAACACCTCATCTGGAATATGCAGTTCAGTTTTGGGCACCACTTCACAAAAAGAACATTGGGGAACTGGAGAAAGTACAGAGAAGGGCAACCAAACTGATAAGAGGCATGGAGGAGCTCAGCTATGAGGAAAGATTAGAGGAACTGAATGTATTCTCTCTTGAAAAGAGGAGATTAAAGGGGGGATATGATCAACATGTATAAATACATCAGTGGTTCATATAGTGAACTCGGTGTAGAGCTATTCACCCTGAGGTCATCACAGAGGACAAGGGGGCACTCTTTACATCTGGAGGAAAAGAGATTTAATCTCCAAACACGGAAATGTTTCTTCACAGTAAGAGCTGTGAAAATGTGGAATAGACTCCCTCAAGAGTTGGTTCTGGCCAGCTCAGTGGATTGCTTTAAAAAAGTCCTGGATTGTTTCTTAGATACACAGAATATAACTGGATACTAACATTTATAGGTAAAGTTGATCCAGGGAATATCCGATTGCCTCTCGGGGGATCAGGAAGGAATTTTTTTCTCTGCAGGAGCAAATTGGATCATGCTTTGCTGGGTTTTTTGCCTTTCTCTGGATCAACTGTGGGTATAGGATTATAGCTTTTTTTTTTGTTATGGTTGAACTGGATGGACTTTTGTCTTTTTTCAGCCAGACTAACTATGTAACAATAAATGGCTTCATATGATCACTATCCTTAAATGAAATTTTTTTTTTTTTTGCACGATTAGTCATATTTTCAATATAAATGCCAAAATATTATTATTCTGCCAGGGTGTGCAAACTTTTGAGCACAACTGTATGTTTGGAAATTTTCATAATTTTTTGAGACAACTTTTTTTTAAAATATTTTTCTATATACAGTATTTTCTCTCCTTAAGATTCACTTTTTTCCCCCAAAAAATGGGGAGAAATGTCTGGGCGTCTTATGGAGCGAATATTGACCAGGCATTCCCCCCTCCCCCTGCTGCATTATAATACCGGGCCAGTCAGCAGGGAGGGGGCGGGGCCAGGTCCATAAGCTCCACTGACCCCGCCCCATGCAGCCTGTATGCTCAAGAGGGATCTGCTGTAGTAGAAGTTGTGATGTGAGTGGGAGCCCCGCCCCAAGGACCTCAGAGGATGCTGAGCAATGCTGGCCAGGTATGTCCTTCCCCCCCATAGACTGCCTGTGGACTGTTATACCAAATCCTGAGCTGCTTTTCACAAACTGTACATCTGTGCATTGCTGAAAGAACTCTGTTCATCCCCTGTAATATGTCCGCAGTCTCTGGTCATCTCCTGTAATATGTCCGCAGTCTCTGGTCATCTCCTGTACTATGTCTGCAGTCTCTGTTCATCATCCCTGTAATATGTCCGCAGTCTCTGGTCATCTCCTATAATATGTCCGCAGTCTCTCTGGTCATCCCTGTACTATGTCCGCAGTCTCTGGTCATCTCCTGTACTATGTCTGCAGTCTCGTCATCTCCTATAATATGTCCGCAGTCTCTGGTCATCTCCTGTACTATGTCCGCAGTCTCTGGCCATCTCCTGTAATATGTCCGCAGTCTCTGGTCATCTCCAGTACTATGTCCTGCAGTCTCTGGTCATCTCCTGTACTGTGTCCGCAGTCTCTGGTCATCTCCAGTACTATGTCCGCAGTCTCTGGTCATCTACTGTACTATGTCCGCAGTCTCTGGTCATCTCCTATACTATGTCTGCAGTCTCTGGTCCTGTACTGTGTCCGTAGTCTCTGGTCATCTCATGTACTGTGTCCGCAGTCTCTGGTCATCTCATGTACTGTGTCCGCAGTCTCTGGTCATCTCATGTACTATGTCCATAGTCTCTGGTCATCCCCTGTACTATGTCCGTAGTCTCTGGTCATCTCCTGTACTATGTCCGCCGTCTCTGGTCATCTCCTGTACTGTGTCCGCAGTCTCTGGTCATCTCTGTACTATGTCCGCCATCTCTGGTCATCCCCTGTAATATGTCCGCAGTCTCTGGTCATCTCCAGTACTATGCCTGTAGTCTGTGGTCATCTTCTGTACTATGTCCGCCGTCTCTGGTCATCCCCTGTACTATGTCCACAGTCTCTGGTCATCTCATGTACTATGTCTGCAGTCTCTGGTCATCCCCTGTAATATGTCCGCAGTCTCTGGTCATCTCCAGTACTATGCCTGTAGTCTCTGGTCATCCCCTGTACTATGTCCACCGTCTCTGGTCATCTCCTGTACTATGTCTGCAGTCTCTGGTCATCTCCTGTACTATGTCCGCAGTCTCTGGTCATCTCCTGTACTATGTCTGCAGTCTCTGGTCATCTCCTGTACTGTGTCTGCAGTCTCTGGTCATATCCTGTACTGTGTCCGCAGTCTCTGGTCATCTAATGGACTATGTCCGCAGTCTCTGGTCATCCCTTGTACTATGTCCGCAGTCTCTGGTCATCTCCTGTACTGTGTCTGCAGTCTCTGGTCATCTCCTGTACTATGTCCGCAGTCTCTGGTCATCTTCTGTACTGTATCTGCAGTCTCTGGTCATGTCCTGTACTATGTCCACAGTCTCTGGTCGTCTTCTGTACTGTGTCCGCAATCTCTGGTCATCTCCTGTAGTAGGTATGCAGTCTCCGGTTGTCTTCTGTACTATGTCTGCAGTCTCTGGTCATCTCCTGTACTATGTCTGCAGTCTCTGCTCATCTCCTGTACTATGGTTGTAGTCTCTGGTCATCTCCTGTAGTAGGTCTGAAGTCTCTGGTCGTTTCCTGCACTGTGTCTATAGTCTCTGTTCGTCTCCTGTACTGTGTCCGCAGTCTCTGCTCATCTCCTGTATTATGCCTGCAATCTCTGCTCATCTCCTATACTATGTCTGTAGTTTTTGCTCATCTTCTGTACTATGTCTGCAGTCTCTGCTCATCTCCTGTACTACGTCTGTAGTCTCTGCTCATCTCCTGTACTATCTCTGTAGTCTTGGTTCAGAATATTTTTTTTTCTTGTTTTCCTTCTCTAAAACCTAGGTGCATCTTATGGAGTGAAAAATACGGTAAATGAAAAAAAGATTTTTTTTTCTTAGTTTTTCTTATAAAATTTTGCAAATAATTTTTCTTCATAAATTTAGGCCAAAACAGTGTATAGTATTTAGTCTGTGTGAAAGCTACAGAGTCTACAAACTATGGGATATACACTATATTGCCAATAGTATTGGGACGCGTGCCTTTGCATGCACATGAACTTTAATGGCATCCCAGTATTAGGGCTCATGTACACTGCAGCTGATAAACTGACATTCAGGAGCTGTTCAGCGTTTTTTTTTCATCAGCCCCTGAACTCACCCTAATGTTTTCCTGTGTCCATGTACACATCTTCATTTACAGTCGTTTACAGACATTTGAATTTACAATCTCTTTTTGAACGCAGAAAATGCGTTCACCAGTCGATTTTATTGTTTCAAATGCAAAACGCTTGTAAACGCGGTAAACTTGGCTAAAAGTGGAAAATAGAGCTTATAAGTGTTTGCATTTTAAATTTTTTTTTAACTCTCCTAGTTTCTGATGCTGTCCAGAGCCTTTTGTCATCATGAAAAATGCATACAAAGTGTTTTCAAGGTACTCAAATGGACAAAACACTGAACACAGGATGTTCCTACCAAGCTTGTCACATATTGTAATGGCCAATCCACACCTCAGACCTCTCCCACCCTTGGAAACAAAAGATATGTTAATGACCATTCACACCTCAAATTCCTCATTCACACCCCTGCTAGGTGGCCTTCATAATTCATTCCACCAGACACCTTTCCCACCCTTGGAAACAAAAGAAATGTTAATGAGCAACTCACTCCTAAGCTAATCTCAACACATACTGCTGTCTCTACTTCTACTCTCTGTATTTCTCTGAAACAGTCTCAAATAGTTAATAATTTACCAATTTTCAGTGCATTCTGTGCATTTGGGAGGTTCTCCTGTGCTTATCTTGAAAAAAAAACGCTTCTAAACAGCAGCAGTCTTTGAGTGTAGAGGCAGCTTGACATGTCTGATCTTTAGTTTCAGTTTCTACTATTTACTATGTGATTGCTGTGATTGGACACAGCAATCACATGGCAACACACCATGTGATCACTCGAATACAGCTGTAATGTGATCTGCTGTGTCTGTGTGACATACCAGTCACCAAGGTCCTGGGTGTGTACTCCTCGCAGGAGCTGCTGATGTGGGCTGACATACAGGTACGTTAACCTGCATTGGCAAAACTTCCCATCCGCCATCTATAGACTATGGGCAGACGTGAAGAGATTATATTCTCCTATGAATCCAGGAAACTTGATCATGCCTCCACGGAGGTGTGTCTTTGATACCTCAGTATAACAAGAATCAGGGAAGCTTGCTGATACCTCCCAGTCCTTGACACCAGGAAATGAGCTGAATGACAATGGGTGTCATTGAACCTAAAGAGGACAGGCTCTGGACCATGGAGGAGGATGCATGGGGCAGCGCAGGAGTGAGTACTGCTTGAAAAACTTTATTTTCAAACAGGAAGGGATGGGGGGGCACCTCTGTAGCATTATCCTGTGCATCCAGGGCAGCTTGAGTGTTCTTGACACCCTGTTCTTACAGGAAATGGGTTGAATGACACTGGACGTTATTTAGCCTTCAAGGGGACAGGCGCTGTGCCATGGAGGAGGAGGAGGCATGGGGCAATGCTACAATACTGCAAGGAAAACAGGATGGGGTGGCAGGCACCCAGAAGAGGATGGACTTTGAACTATGGAGGAGGATGCATGGGGCAGCACCAGAGTAGGTAAGTACTGCTTATTTGTAAACAGGAGGGTGAAGGGCATCACTCTAGCATCCTAGATCCAGGGCATCATAAATCCAGGGCAGCTTGATGATACTTTCCTGGGGGTATGTTCTTGGTAGCTGTTTTTACAGGAACACTGTTCAACAAATTTTTATTTTTTGCCAGTTTTGGAAACAAAAGGATCCATTTCTTAATGAATTTCACATTCTGAGTTCAAATATAACAATGAAATTTGTCAATTGGCTCTAGTTTTTCTGTAAACGGAAAGTTTTCTACTATAGGCATAATGACTACATAATGCACAATAATTATATAGATAGATGTCTTTCCACAAATATAAAGCAAGTGATATTGACTACATAACAAAGCCTAAATGGCATAATATATTGCATAGGATTACCAAGAAAAATTATAGCCATAAGCTAAGTTGATTCATTTTAATACTTAGGATTCTCACTAGTTTTGTCTTCAGTTTGTGTCGGTTTTGCTTCTCTTGGCTTTTCTCTTGTATTCGAGGAAAGGGCTATCTCTTACAACTGCACATGACTACACGCTTCAGGTTCTTCCTCACTTGACTCAACCACGAAGGATTCTGGTGCTTTAGGAATTGGTAGCCCCTCTCCATGAGGAACTGGACGTATTGCCGATGGAATATTTGGATAGTGCACAGATAACTTTTTCTTCTTATTTAGCCCTTTTACAATTGGAGGCACCATACAAAAGTAACAATTACTAACATGATCTGTTGGCTCTCTCCAAATCATTGGCACAGCGAAAGGCATAGATGCCTTTTTTCCATTCAACCATTGCTCCAGTGCCGTCCCACAAGAATTGCAGCATATATGTGGTGCCCAGCTCTTGTCCTGGTCTCCTATCTTGCAGCCAAAATACAAGTTGTAGGCTTTCTTAATCATTCCTGTTATCCTCCTTTTTTGTGAGATAAAAGTTATTTCACCGCAGATATAGCAGAAATTATCTGCTTTATTCACACAAGTTCGAGGCATTACTGAGTAGCCTATATAAGCATAAAACGAAATGTAAAGACGCTGTCGAACTACAATCAGCTACAGATACTGCAGCTTTTATGCAGTGAAGTGATGCAATTAAAAGCTAATATTGCATCATCTCAGTATACATGCAATTTTCTATTGGTCACCAGTATCAATTGCGCAATATGCAGCTGAAGTTGCATCATAATTTTGAATGGCTTACGTCATTAGATGGGTGAATATATCATGGAAACTAGAGCCAATCAACATTTTTTAGGGTCATTTTCGTTTTCAGCACCCCAAAATTATGTAAGATTAGCTAATTTTATGCCCAAAACTTTTTACCTGTTGAACAGTGAAATCAATTGAATGACATTTAGTGACATTTAACCCACAAGAGGACATGCTCTGGCCCACGGATGAAAATTCTTGAGGCAACGTTAGGGTAGGTGAGCACTGCTTCTATAAGTTTATTTTCAAACAGGAGGGAGTGCGGGAACTACCGTATTTTCCGGCGTATAAGGCGACTGGGTGTATAAGACGACCCCCTATTTTTCCAGTTAAAACATAGGTTTTGGGCTATACTCGCCGTATAAGACTACCCCCCCCCCCTTCCGAGGCAACACCATTTAAAAACATCAGATTTTTTAATTGAAATGGTTATGACTTACCGGTACTTAAAATCCTTCAAAATCCTCATGTTCATCCTCTGACATCATATGTTCATGAATGACATCTTGTGATACATTTGTAAGACAGTCATCATATGGATCAAATTCCAAATCAGATGGTTACCGCTGGATGTGTGGTAATACGGTAGCTTCGGCTACATACAGTATACAGTATATATACATCCCGCTGGATGTGCAGTAATACGGTAGCTTCGGCTACATACAGCATACAGTATATATACAGCCC